GTTACCCAAAAAATGTAACTCGTTACCGTTACAGTTACCAAAAAAAGAAAGTAACGCAGTTACCAGTAAAGTTACCAAAAAAGTAACTTGTAACTGTAACTTCGTTACAAGTAACGAGTTACTTCCATTCCCTGCATATAAAGAATTTTACAATAAAGTTTCTATCATTTATTCTAAAAATTTCTATTTTATTGAAAAAAAATTCTGTTGGAAAAATATTCAGTCATTTAAATATTCACGTATAAATATACATTTACTTCATTACTTCTATTGATTTTCAGAACTGTAAATGTTTGTTGAAATTGATAATTTTTAAAGAAATTTAAGATTATTTTTGAAATAAATATATCTGGTTTTTACTTGATTATTTTGTTTGTAATCATTAATATCGATCTAATTTTAAAAAATAACATTTAATATATATATAGATATTTAATTAGTATTACTCGAAGAATATTTCTTATGTATGATATAAAAGTTTTCTTTTTTTACATTTCATGTTAAATACTAATAACTCTTTAATTCGATAACTAACATGTCTACAACTCATTCTTATTTTCCGCTGTCACTTCGCATCTTTTTAAGACAATTCCTATAAATAAAAAGAAGTAATATATATAATATGAAATTGCATCTAAACATTCATTCAACAAGATTCACACTAACAATATGTTTAACAAGATTATTCTACATTTCACATTAAAATTTAGCATGGGATAATGTAAATAACATTGTACAATTTATGATCTAATTAACGAGAACAGATAGTATAGTGAATTCTCTATCTTTCCGAAGAGACAATTATTTCTCTTTATGTTGAAATTTTTTACATATATTCCTCGGACATATGTTGAAACATTTTCGGTATAATATTCTTTTAATAATAACTTACATGTTGTATAATGCTTATAAGATATGTAGATGTAAAATAATCATTTACGAATACTACTCTTAAAGATTAAAAAAAAAGTAAACTTTAATTCAAACACACGAATTTTTATCTTTTTTTTTAATTATTTATTGAACAAAAGATTAATTTAATTATTTTAATCTTATCTAAGATTTAATACGTGATTTATATGTAAAATTCGAGATATAATTTCCCAATCACGATTGGGATGAAGCATATTTGAAAATTCATAAAAATGTGAAAATACTTCTTCTGTATACATCATTGAATATTTTTCTCTTGATTAAGCTTTTCGGCAAGAATTTATCAATTAACACATGTGAGACGAAAAACGAACTAGAGAAAAGAGTGAATTTAAAATGTAATTATGCAACTTTGCTGCTATTTTAATAAAAAACTTAACTTGGCTCAAATGTGTGAAAATTGAATAAATAACTTTGTGGACACTCAATGTATACGGAAATCGAGCCTTATTTTTACAATAGGCCTTGCAATATTTACAAATGTTGCAAACTAACGGTCGAGGCGAAATACTTATTTTGTTATTCTATATTGGAGATATGTATTATATACTTTCTTGAATAATCAATGAAAAATGTCTATGCGACATAAAATACTGTAAATATATGTTAACTAATAAGTTAACATTAGGAAAATTAACTAGATGTTATTAAATTTGGCTATAAAATGTATAATTTATTAAAATATTAATTTTAATTGATAAAGTATCATTCTCTCTTTTTGTATTTGTTCGATTTTTATAAATTATATTGATAATACATGAATACCTTGCAAAATTCTTTCATCGAAAGAGTCTGAAATAAAAAGTCACAATTTATGTATTAAAAAAATAATTTAATTATGATTTATAAATAACAAAAAGCTTCTTTAGGAAGTTTGTGACTTCCAGGATTTAATACTACATTTCAACAGTATTAATTAACATAATAATGAATAAATAATATATATATTGAACGATATATATTTATCTAATAAAAAACGCGGCATTCAACTTACTAATATCTTGCAATTATACAATGTTCAATTCATATATGAAGCAAATTATATAAATATTTAATTAAAATAAAGATATTGCAAAATTTGCAGATATACAAATATACGATATATTCATTCTTAACATCTTTCTGTGTAAATTAAAAAATATTTAAAATATTACTGAAAAGAATAAATTGTTTTTATGTACCGGTTACAAAAAACTAGACCGAAAAGAAATCATTATATTTGAAGAAATTGAAAACAAAATGAATAAATTGAATGTCATACTGTGTCTCTATAAGTACTAATACATATATATTAACTATTGCAATCTGCCTCGAATTTGCCCCTAATTTATTGGACTAGTTTATACAAGGCACTAAATGCATCTGATATATATCAACATTTACACATACAAAAAATCATGTTATACTATCTCCAAATACACTGAATGTCCAAAAGCAATTGAGATGCGTTTTGTGAATGTATTTATAAGTACAATACTATTATATAGGTGCTGGAGAATCGTACAACAATCGAAAAGAGGGCAATTTATTCAAGAATAAAAAATAAATGTAAATTAATATGTAAAGTAAATTTTTTTCATATAAATCGCAATTTTTCCTGAAAACAAATTGTATCTCTAAAGATAAATTTTAATCGGTAATTTGAATCATCTTTTAAAATATTTTTCTTAGACAAGTTTGATATTAGTTTTTTTACTTCTTTTTCACTGGAAAAATATCACCCCTCTGACGAATGTTGCTAAAATTTTCATTGCACACTATATAGTATTGGAAAATATACATCAGACTCTTTCCATTATTCATAAAGACATCCTTTCAATAATCACCTTAATATCTCTAGCTTAATACGTCTATCATGTATATGTGTACATATATAATAAATTATTTCATTTAGTTTAATATACAAAAATGATTTGAGCATAAATGGTTAAATTTTAGACTTATATTCCATTTAAAAAAAAGAAGATTATATATATTACCACAAATTTGAAAACACTGTCCTAGAGTTTAAAAAAAAACGTTTTGTAAATTTATATAGCATGCACGTTGTTTGATATTATATATTAACACTGTAAGCCAATAAACAAATTATCAGTCTGTTCAAATATTTAAAAATAAGATATTTATTAATATTCATTAACGTCAAGAATTTTTAACGATTTTAGTTGTCTTCAAGACTATTTAAGATAGTCACTATTGTGAAACTTCACTTTCAGCAATCCTAAAGATGAGTGGAATATGTTTCTAAAGTTTGACCATCCATTTCAAAATCACTATGTGTATATATACTAAAGTAAAATATCTATGTATAATATTATATACATATATTTCAAAAATTAGAATTGCACCCAACTGGCATTAGCTACTGTGGGTGCAGGTGCAGGTGCAGGTGCTGATGCCGATGCTGATTGAGAAGCACTAGCAAATTCGCCCCACTCTGAACTGGTAACATCTTGATTTTGATTTTGTAACGGCTTGTGCGCTGGTGAAGAAGTAGGAGTTTTTGCTGGTGGTGGAGCAATCTTGACACCACCTGGAGGAGGCGGTAAACCTACAGCTGGATTGGTACGTTGTCTGGATTTGGAAGTTACTTCGCTGCCATCCTTTTTCTAAGTAACAAATATGTACAAAAATTATTTTAAAACTGAGCCAAGCATATATTCAGCACAACAATTTTATTGAAATCCTTAATGTCCTTAATTTAAAAAGTCTGATTTTTCATGTTGATTTATATCACACATCCTGTTCTAAAAAGATTAAAAAGGATATTAATAGAAAATCAGAACTAGAGTATTTTTCTAAAAAATTATTCAAAGATGGAAGAGATATAATTATTGACATACAAATTGTAGTATTTTCTTCTATTATATCTTCTCTTTTAATTAGTTTAGGACAATATTTTCGTAATTTTAATTTAAAGAAACATCAACATTTTTAATTGTAACAGCAAATTTGATAAAATTCTCAACATATAAAACATATGTCATAAAAACATTCTTACGGTAATCTTCATGTTAATCTTGATAGTTTCGCCTTCCTTAAATCTGAGATCCAATTCCTGTTTCGGCTTTTCCTTCTCCTTCTCAATTTGCTCCCGATTCTTTAACCATTTAAAATGATCCTGAAGAGCAACATTTAGATCAAAACTATCAGACCTGTCTAAGAAGCCGACACCTATAAACGCTGACCGTCCATTGTCGTCTTGGATCCTCAGGACAAAGTATCTAGATGAATCAGTGACTGGTTCTACCGCTATCCCAGGATATTGCTCAATAGGACACTTAGCAAACAGTTCACCCGTGATCTTATCTTCCAGCTTTATTGTAATGCTGTCGCCTTGTGACACCAATCGCATGCGTCCAGTCCAGGAGGGTTCCTGTAGGTTCCAGTCAGCTGCCCTGTGACAGATTGTAAATTTTGAGATCATCGCACCAATTCCGGAAACATGGAAACATCATTGATTTGCTTCCAGATAGCATATGATATTTTGAGGATAGAGTATGAGAATATTCTGAAAATGTCACAAGATTATACTCAGAATGTTCCAACTTCCATTCATTTCTTGCTTGAGAGCAATAATAAAAATATCCTCAAAATATTCTCAGAATATCATGCGCTATCTGAGCTTTACACTAGCTTTATTTTATTCGTGCAACTCGAATATCATCTTTACGTGAAACTACGGATCCGTCACTGATAACATATTGAACAGTCCAGTGAAACGTCACGTTGAAAGAGGCGTCTCGCGCTTACCGATAACCCCTGTTGGTCGACCTTGGTGGAATTTTGAAGACGAACACTTCGGATTTCACCAGAAGGACGCTCTCGTACGTCTCCATCGCGCTTGCCGATGACGATCTTTACAGGAAACGATCGCAAAAACAATCACGAGAAATGCCCTCCTCGCAAAACTACTGTTCGAAGGTTCGCTTACACACACTCTCCTGACAAATGTCCGCTACGATCAGTCGTGATTTGATAACTCTATCTCGAGTCACGCCTCCTGTCTCCCTTCTTATTTCTCCCTGCCCCACTCTTCCGCCCACGAGTTGTCCATAGATTAATCACGTAAATAGACTGACCGATTAATTTTTTTACGCGTAGCCAAAGGAAGCATGACTCATCGACAGGAACGTGATTACTGGGGAAATGATTAACAATTGCCTTATCAGCGTTCAATGTCGATTCCAGTGTCGACTGCTTCCGACAATTATCGGTCACGGTCAGCGAGTCAGTTAACAATGGAGAAAAAGGGAGAAAAACAAAATAGAAAAAGAAAAATATAAAAAATATTATTTAATGTTATACTAGAAAATAACTAAATAAGAAAATATCTAATAAGAAAATAAATATTAACAATTAATAAAGAGGAATAATTTATAGATAATTATTATTTATTAAATGTCACTGATTGAATCTTCAGGTAAAAACCAATATTTACATTCAATCATTCGACGAATAAGTTATTATAAATTACTTGATTTATCAATTTGAGCACAATCATTAGCTACGTTCAATAGATAAAATAAAACTAATTGGTTAGCGCTCAATGATTCTTTAATATGATTGGCTGCGTCAACAGAAAAAATAGCTTTGCACCACAGTTGTAAATGGTTGTAATTGTACGATTGTTTAACCAATCACAGTCAAATACGAAAAATGTTTGACTGTGATTAGTCAATTCTTACAACTACAGCCACTTACCGGCCTATGAATACCGGCCTAGAAGTTTATGCGATTGTAGAATAGGTTTAAGGGAAAAACCAATTATATCAAAGAATTTTACAACGGTTGTAAAGTTTCTTTCTCTGCCGAGCTTCGTTCAAAAATACTATCCGAATATGGTCACCGAATATTATTTTATCTTTATTGTTTACTGAATATTAAACAAAGACAAATGTGACACAATAACTAATAAGCTTAAAGCCGGAATCAGACTACGCATTTGAAGATTGAGATTGAAGATTGAAAATTAAAATTTGACCAATGAGGATAAAGGAATTTTAGCTCCTATTATTTTGATTGGTTGCTGCTTCCGCTGCTTGACGCCTGACGGTTGCATGTGAATGCACTTTTATGCATTATGCAAAATTTGTACTGCGTCCTTTATCACATTGTTTACTTTCAATAGGCGATTTTTGGCGTGCCTTTGGTATAGCAACCAAAAACAACCGTGGTTGAGGCTATCTTTGTTTTCTGATCCCTGAAAACGAAGATAACCTTAATCGCTGTTAAGGCCGCAGCACACACTTTTGCATAACACATAAAGCATATACATAAGGAATTTGATTGGCCCATTTTCTTATGCATGAGTCAATGGACCAATCAAATTCTTTATGTATATGGTTTATGCGTTATGCAAAAGTCTGTGCTGCGGCCTTTACTTTTGGTTGCTATACTAGAAGCACGCCAAAAATCGCCTAATGTAAACGGCCTTACAATACCTACATGTTCATTGGTTACCGTATTGCATTTTGCCGCGCGGCAAATTCATGTGTATACTTGGCCACTCAAATACACCCGCGATTAAAAGAGCTACTAGTTTAAAACATTTATATTTCGTATGAAGAGTTTTTAATTACAATTGAAAAGATTTGTGAGTCATTTAGTTAATTATAAATAATTAATCATTTTTACGCTATGTATATTTGTACACACATATATATTTGTAATATTTGTACATATATATCGTGAGTGTAGCCACATAGACAAAATCACCTCATTCCATCCTTATTATTTACCGAATGTTAAACAAGGATGACATGATAACCCGGAGAGCACTCAGGTGGAAATGGAAATTTGATGTGTTTGTGGTGTTTGTGTTGCGCAGTAGAATGTGGCAAAGGTTATGTATCCTTAGAGATTAGAGAATAGAGATTCTCAATTAGATATTCTACCATATGTTATTTCTCGTAAAAAGTAAACGCTCAGTTTGTTAAGATTGAATAACGATATGCCTGAGAACATAAAGAAAACCGGACCTTTAATAGGTGCTATTGATGAAGGAACGAGTAGCGCTAGATTTTTGGTAAGTCACAATCATTCTTAACATAAAGAGATGTTCATTCAAAAAAATTTTTTTGTGCTTAGGTGTTTGACGTGTTACGCAGGAAGGTAGTGGCTTTGCATCAGGTTGAAATCAAACAAAAATACCCTCAAGAAGGATGGGTGGAGCAAGATCCAAAAGAAATATTACAAGCTGTTATAGTGTGTATAGAAGAGACAGTAAAAAAGATGAAAAACCTTGGCCTATCAGTCTCTGATATCAAAGCTGTTGGGATTACTAATCAAAGGGAGACAACATTGGTGTGGGATAAAGAGACTGGCGAGCCTTTGCACAATGCAATTGGTAAAATCAATATTGGATTGAGAAAAAAAGTTATTTCACATATGTATATGTAAAAGGTCTTTTTTATTTTACAATATTTTTATTAAAAATGAACGAAATTTAATTAAAAAGAAAAAAGATTTTAAAGCTTAAAATTTCTACTTTCAAAAGGTTACTATATTTTTTAAGTTGCTGTGAATTTGATAATTTTTACATATACAAAACTATGAACTAAAAATGATGAAAATTTTTCTTTTTATTTTGTGAGTGTTTCATGTGTTTAAAAAAATTGCGAAAAATTTTCAACTACCTATTATGAAAGCTTGAAACTTTACCTATACATATAATCGGTTTTTTTTATATTTCTATAATTTTATATATATATATATATATACACACGTAAATGGACTTTTTTACCAATCCAATATACAGTACTATATAAAACCTTTTATTTTATGCGCTACAATAACATATTCTTTGCTAAATCGATATATTATATCTAATGGTTTAATATAGCTTGCTAAAAGATTTAATGTAGATTTTAATATAGAAAATTCAGTACTTTATATAGAGTTAAAATTTACTAACTCTCTTTGCAGTATGGCATGATATGAGAACAACTACAACTCTAGAAGACGTATTAGATAATATCCCTAACAAGACAAGAAATAAGAATTACTTGAAACCACTATGTGGCTTACCGATGTCACCCTATTTTAGCGCACTCAAGTTACGCTGGTTGATAGATAATATTTCATGTGTGAAACAAGCAATAGATGCACAGAAATGTGCTTTTGGAACAGTTGATACATGGCTCATTTGGGTAAATAAACTTATTAAAATGCATTCATAAAAAGCAAAGGTAGAAAAATTTTATATCATTATTGAATGTTTCTTATATTCAGAATCTTACAAAGGGACAGTTGCACGTTACGGATGTATCAAATGCATCTCGCACAATGTTGATGAATATTGATACACTGAAATGGGATCCTTTATTATGTCGTTTCTTTGGCATTCCACAACACATTCTTCCCGAAATACGATCCAGTGCAGAGATTTATGGTTCTATTTCAAACCTTGAAATTCTCAGAGGCATACCCATAGCAGGTGTAAGTATATACATCTAGGATATTTTTTGTGTATTATTCATTTAAATAAGATTATGTAATTTTTTTTATTGAACTTTTCTCTCTTTTGGTAGAAATAGACTTTTCTAGACAAGAATTCTTTTATGTCGCTAATATAGTAATTTACAGTTGTAATTATTATTTTCACTATCATTTTTTTAATGAAATTGTATTGTATTATCAAAGTGTTATAGAGCATTTTATGATAAATTTATTAAGATTGTACAATGTTTAGAATTTGAGAGAAAATAAAAAAAGCAAATTGTACATATAGAATTTTTCATTTCCTTCAGTGTGTTGGAGATCAGCAAGGAGCTCTCCTTGGTCAGTTATGTTTGAAACCTGGTCAAGCAAAAGCTACATATGGGACAGGATGTTTTTTGCTTTACAATACAGGAAATACAGTATGTATAACAGATCAGATATGTAATGCAAAAAATAAAATTAAAAATACAAATTTCGCTAAAATATAAAATTATTTGTATACTGTAAAACATATAGTTTTTTTTATCAAAAACAAGGTTTAGAATATAATTAAAGATACAAGAATGTTCTTTTGTAGAAAGTTGATTCAACACAAGGATTGATAACTACGGTTGCTTATAAAATTGCACGATCCCCACCTGTTTATGCATTAGAGGGATCCGTTGCTGTTGCTGGAGCCGCTTTATCTTGGCTGCGAGATAATATACAACTTATCAGTAATATCACACAAACGCAAGATATGGCAGAGCGTGTAAGATGTTCTGGCGACGTGTATTTTGTACCGGCCTTTTCGGGACTGTATGCACCCTATTGGCAACAAGATGCGCGCGGGTATTATACTTTTTTATTTTTCTTTCTACCAATGTGTAAAATTGTCAAGACTTCTTTTTAATCGAACATCGTCATATTATTTGCACAATTTAATAGAGTGATCTGTGGTATTACTGAGGATACGCAACAATATCATATTATACGAGCAGCATTAGAAGCAGTTTGCTTTCAAACGAGAGACATATTAGAAGCAATGGAAAAAGATTCTGGTACAAATCTCACAACTTTGCAAGTTGATGGTGGTATGACTGTGAACGATTTGTTAATGCAATTACAAGCAGATTTAACTGGAATAACTGTTGGTAAGTAAACAACATGTCATAATATTATACAAAATCTCTTTTAACTTTATAATTAAATAATTTTTTAACTAATTATATATGTATATATATTGTAAATAGTGAGACCAAACATGGTTGAAACGACAGCATTAGGTGCCGCTATTCTAGCTGGCATTGGTGCAGGTTTAATTGATATAAATGAAGTGGATGCATCTCAAGTAACCAAATTTTCAGCTCAGATTAGTGAAAATGGTAAATATATATTTCATTATATATGTCACACAGTAATATAATATAAAGTTAAAAAGAATAAAAAAAACTAAATAATAATATATAAACTTTTTGTTTTTATTTTAGAGAGAGATCTTCGATATTCTAAGTGGAAAATGGCTGTTGAAAGATCTATGAAGTGGGATTGTTCTACAACTCCAATAAATAATTAAAATCGTATGTGTAGATATAGTTTTATACCGGATAAAATGGATATTTATGTTATAATGTATATACGATATATTGTATATTATAAAATTATAAAAGTTCTGATATATTTTATACTTACAGCATTTAATAAAATATATTTCGTTTCCCGCTTTATCTCTTCCGCGTTTATTTTCTGTTTTCTACTTTTATGCATTCTTCATAATAAGATGAGTGTCATAAATAAAGTTCAAAAATATATATGCATATACTTTGTTACTTTGATAAAACATATTAACGAGATACATTGAGAATAGTAATTTTTTTAAGTTTTATTCTGTGCATAAAATAGTAATAGAACATTAACATTTTTTTTAATTTATCTTGCTAGTAGATGCAAAGAAGAATTTAATAATTTAATATAGAAACATTAAGCTTATGTGTTCTTATTAAATAATATAGTTTATGTAGTGCTAGCTATAAAATGTGAGAAATAAAATAGTATTTTATATATTAAAAGAATCAAGTTGACTTTGACTTTACTGGTTTATTTGGATTTATTTGACCCAAAATATAATTTATTTTCTTACTATTATTTTCTTTAAAAACTTTCTATTGATAGTATTTGATGACTGTTAATCTAAGATCTTGCTTTTGGGAATTTTTTTTGGATCTTAATTATATGAATCCAAATGATATAATAAGAAGTACTAGGACGTACAGTAAATTTAAACAGATCAAAAAGGTTAAATTCCAAAAATAATAATCTTGAGAAAAAAATTTTACATTGTAATGTATCTTCTTTAACTGACACTTTTTTAACTCTAAAATATTCTTCTTTAGAATATAATAGGTTTATAGAGAGTTTAGATATATGATATCTACATTGAGAATATAATATTCTGATTTTGATAAATTTATTTTACATAATATATTTATTGTTATCTATTTATATGTCATTTTTACTCATTATTATATAAATAATTCTATATAATACATAAGTATTATCAAAGATTATTATTTTATGTATTATCTGTTATCCTATGTATTATCTTATTCCCGGATAAAAAAAGTTGATAGAGAACGATAGAAAAATCTTATCATTTTAAATACGGAATCTGGTTCGCATATTCATTAATTTGAATCAAATCTTATAGGAATCTTATAGAATTTGATAAAATACGATAGAATTCATAGTCGATCAATCGTGATGTTCGCGAAGTCGACGATAGAAAACAATATAAATTTATATAAAACAATACAAATTGATAGAAATGCTATCGTTCTTAATCGTTCTCTATCAACTTTTTTACCAGGGTTATTATTATTATTGCTGTTATTATTTTAATATTGTATTTAAATATTTAGAGATAATATAAACATAAGTGCATGAAATATTATGACTTGCAGACTACAAATTTGTTATAAATTTTTATTTTAACACAAGTCCTGCCTGTTGATTGATCCAGTAAACGTCCCGAGGACAAGCGGAATGGATCAATGTTGCGCATGCTGGCGCATGTGAGATGACGGCACGTGAGATGCTGCGTTGTATCATCTCCGCGCTCTGTCCTCTCGTCCTTTCCTCCTTATCGTCGCGCTTGTCGTCAATCAGTTAAATAGTAAAACGCAAAATGAAAGACCACGACGGAACGCCCCATCAGAAAAAGCCTACGAAACTCCGAAATCTCGCAGACAAAACAGAAGCATTTGATTCCTTGCACGTGAGAAATGCTGAGGTATTTTAGAAAACAATTTTTAATATGTATTGTACATTGACATTAATGTATGATTAAGGATGTTAACAGGGATTAACATGGCGCGTTATTTATTATAAGAATCGATTATGAAACTTTTTAACTAGAAATTGTGTGAAAAAGTACATTAAAAATAACATAAAAAATCTTTTTTTATAAAGTGTTATGTCTCTCCAAAAAAATTTAACTTTTCGTTGAAAATTAAAAAAAATAGTAGTCTTTTTTTGTGTATTAATTTTACAGTTTTCTTATGCAGACATAAATGTGTATAAATTTATTTTAATAATTAATATAATAACAATATAATACAAAAAAAGGAATTTATTCTACATAAAAATAGTATGTTAATATTTTATATGTAATTTGTTTCATAATTTTTTAATTACTTTTATATATTTTTTAAATAATATAATAATATTTTGATAGACACTTATAATACATTAAATGCGATGTATATTGTGTGTGTGTGTGTGTGTGTGTGTGTGTGTGTGTGTGTGTGTATACATTAAATGCGATGTATATTGTGTGTGTGTGTGTGTGTGTGTAATTAAAAATTAAATATAAAAATAATGGATGTGTGTGGTATTATTTTTTTTATCCAATTTTCCAAACCGATTTTTTAAATAAAGCTCTTTTCCACATTATTAAAATAACAGATATTATTCTGAAAATCTTTTATTGTGTATTCTCTCTTTCTCTTTTTTTCGTCAATATTTTAATGTATACATAAATACAAAAATAAAGAAGAAATACAGTAAATAAGAAATTAGAATATAAAATAAATTTCTAGAAAATACTTTGTACGGGCCAAGCCTGTCTTGGTAGCATAATGCAGCTACCGACTCATGGTACGGAGCCACGAACGAAAGAGGAAATCTTGCTTCATGCTAATGACTTTTTGGAGCAATATTTTACTTCTATTAGAAGGTACAAAAATTGCTAGTTATATTCATATATATTTCTTGAAATTCTAATAAATCTTAAGCTATTCTTCACGTTTGATTAAAATAGATTAAATAGCGATGCTCATCGCGTACGTTTGGAGAGTGTGCAGAGAGAAGTGATTTCCACTGGTACATATCAGTTAACGGAAACAGAATTGGTTTTCGGCGCAAAGTTAGCTTGGCGAAATGCTGCGAGATGCATTGGTCGCATTCAGTGGTCAAAGCTACAGGTATCTTACCTTCACGAAAAAAGAACAATAGTTTTCATACATTATATATATTATTAATTATGTATAATGTGTATATGAAAAATTGTATCTGTAAATTGAATTGTTAATAAAATGAATGCATTTATAGGTTTTTGATTGCCGTTATGTTACAACTACGAGTGGCATGTTTGAGGCTTTATGTAATCATATCAAGTACAGTACAAATAAAGGAAATATCAGGTGAAGCATTTTTATATATGAGATTTATGTTTTTTTCCAACTTTTCATTATTTAAAGATATGTAAATACTAAATTAGAATAGATTTATTCCTTCTGTGTTTATACTGTTAATAAAATTGTAAAGATTGACGTAGAGATTTAAATTACAAAGAGCTCAAAATTATTTCAAAAATTTGCCAGATGCACTTACGCGTATAATATATATCTGATTATTTATTATGCATAATTTTCAGATCCGCGATAACAATATTTCCGCAGCGCACTGATGGAAAACACGATTACAGAGTATGGAATAATCAACTGCTCAATTATGCAGGATACAAAAATCCTGCAGATGGTACCATTCTTGGTGATCCTGCAAACGTAGAATTCACAGAGGTCAGAATATTATAAAATTTTATGTATATTTATGAATATTTTCTTTTAATTATTTATATTACCAAAATATTTTTATTAATTATTTATATTACCGAAAAATTGCTTAACTTTTTGAAAAAATTCTCTATAAAGAAAGAATGCATACATTTCGAAAATAATTTAATAAATCCACTACTTTCTTTTTAATAGGTTTGCATGAAATTAGGATGGAAAGGTGCACGAACCAGATTTGACATACTACCATTGGTCTTGTCTGCTAATGGACACGATCCAGATTATTTTGACATTCCCAGCGACTTGGTACTCGAAGTACTTCTTAGTCATCCTACGTAAGTTTTCGTTAAATAATGTGAAATTATGTAAAATTGTACATTAATGCAATGAGTTTAAATAATTATATTTAAAGAACACAAAATTATCTCATTAAATTTAAATTATTATGTTATAGTTTAAATTTAACAAGATAATTTTTTGTTCTTTAAATATCATTATTTAAACTCATTGCGTTAATTAAAAAAATTTGCAATGTTGTATATAATAATATTTGTTATATGATAAATATATGTAATAGAGCTGTTATACTTTTGATGATTTCTTCGAGTTTAAGGTGCTTCAAAGCTTCGAAACATCTTAACTTTCGAAGGTTTGAAGTTAAAAAAAACTTTGTTTGAATTTAAATTTTTTCAAAACTTTGAAATTGTCAAAAATAATAGTCCTAATATATATATTTTTTTATGGATAATAGATATGATTGGTTTGAAAAATTGGGCCTTAAGTGGTTTGCTGTTCCGGCCGTATCTGGAATGGTTTTCGATTGCGGAGGTTTAGTATTCACTGCGGCACCTTTCAATGGCTGGTACATGAGCACCGAGATTGGCTCCAGAGATTTATGTGATGCTCAAAGATATAACATGCTCGAGACAATAGCGACAAACATGGGTCTAGACACAAGGACATCTACATCATTGTGGAAGGATAAAGCAATGATAGAAGCTAACGTCGCAGTATTACATAGCTTTCAAATGAAGAACGTGACGATCGTAGATCATCATACCGCTTCAGAATCTTTCATGAAACATTATGAAAATGAGATGCGTCTTCGAAACGGTTGTCCCGCAGATTGGCTATGGATCGTGCCACCAATATCTGGATCCGCTACGCCGGTATTTCATCAGGAAATGGCGCTTTATCATTTGAAACCTTCTTACGATGCCCAAGACCCAGCATGGAAAACTCACATATGGAAGAAAGGACGCGATAAGAAAGCAACATCGAAAAAGCCAAGACGAAAGTTTCATTTCAAACAGATTGCGAGAGCTGTGAAATTTACATCCAAGTTATTCGGACGAGCATTGTCGCGTCGAATAAAAGCGACCGTGCTGTTTGCTACGGAAACTGGCACATCTCAAATGTATGCGGAAAAGTTGGGCGAGTTATTGGGTCATGCTTTTCATTCCCAGGTACTTTCAATGGAAGAATATGACATCAGTAACATAGAGCATGAAGCTTTATTGCTGGTGATAACTTCAACTTTTGGAAACGGTGACCCGCCGGAAAACGGAGAAGTTTTTGCGCAAAATTTGTACGCAATGAAAATGAACGACGCTTATATAAACAGCGAGAATAAAATAAGTTTGGCGACCTCGAAGTCATTTATTAAAGCTAACAGCCAAACGGAAGTAAGTGGATCGAAGAAATTGGATCGTCTAGATTCCTTGCGTGGTTCTACGACGGACTCGCAAACCGAGGATACTTTTGGACCTCTCAGCAATGTTCGATTCGCTGTGTTTGCACTAGGATCGTCTGCGTATCCAAACTTTTGCGCATTTGGCCGCTACGTTGACAACTTGTTAGGCGAGCTGGGCGGAGAGCGATTAGCACGTTTAGCCCAAGGTGACGAGATGTGTGGACAAGAGCAGACCTTTCGGAAATGGGCAGCTGATATCTTCGCAATTGCATGCGAAACATTTTGTTTGGACGACGACGATACATTATTGGAGGTAGCCTTGTCTCTGGGTTCCGAAGCGTTGTCTGCAGCCACAGTTCGTTTTGTAGAAGCCGATCCTCAACCGATGGCCAAAGCATTAAGCAAATGCCATAATAGAAATGTGACGATGTGCAATTTACTTCGAAGGACCAATTTGAGTGGCGATGAGTCCAGTGGAATAACATTGCTTCTGGAACTGGATGACATAGTGGGCATGGATATTTCTTATAAACCCGGGGATCACTTAGGTGTATTTGCGTGCAATCGAGTAGACCTCGTACAGAGAATCTTACAACGTGTGCAGTCTACTTTTGATGCTGATATATCGATCGAGCTGCAAATGCAGAAGCAAGCACATACTCCTAATGGTGGATATTAATTTTCCTTTTTATTTTTCCTCTCTTTCTCTTTTTTTACAAGTAAATAATAATGGAGGCTTTTTTTTCAGGAATTGTAAAAACATGGATACCTCATGACAGATATTTACCAAATTCCTTCAGGATGCTATTAACTCGATTTTTGGATATCACAACACCACCTACGCCAAATCTGTTAAGATATTTCGCCTCGATAGCTACGAACGCAAAAGAACGAGCGCAGCTTGATCTTCTGGCCTCTGTAAATATGTAAATGTATAAATGTAGCTGTTTCTTGAGAAGTAACAGAATTTGGAAATAGTTAATGAAAATTTAAAGTTTTAAGCCAAAAATATTTAAAAAATGAAAAGAAATTTTTAATATATTAATCTTTCTTCATATTACAATTCTTAATTTAATGTTATGAATTTAAAAAATATTTAATTTTGATAATAAAAACTCAAGATTGGAGATTTAAAAAATATTAAAAATCAATCTAAAAATAAAAATATATTTAAAAATTTGTACAAGTTTTCTTAACGCAATTTATTAAATACATACAGCGACATTAAACATAATAATTTGCAAAAAAAAAATACATCGAAATCCATACTTGAAAGTTTCTTTGAATAGGATCCAGCGGCTTACGAGGATTGGAGACATTGGAAGTTTCCTAATTTAGCCGAAGTTTTGGATGAATTTCCATCCGTGACTCCATATGCCCCATTACTACTGCTTCATCTAACACCCTTACAACCAAGATTCTACAGCATCTCATCGTCTCCTCAAGTGCATCGAGGGCAAATACACCTGACAGTTGCAGTGGTGCAATATCAAACGCAAAGTATAAACCTTTCCTTTTTCCAAAGAATTCTATTTATAATTTATTCTGTAATTCTATTTATAATATATATTCAATTTAATAGTAAACTAATACCTTTTGATTATTTAACAAATTTGTTCTAGACGGTTCTGGACCAGTACATTTTGGTGTGTGCTCCAATTATCTGCGGCAATTATCTGAAGGAGAATTGCTGTATGTGTTTGTGCGGAGGTGAGAAATATTAATTTTGTATTAAACATCACTCAATTGAACATAAAGATCTTACGTTGAGTACAATCATTAATGTTTAAGTGCGCCAAACTTTTATATGCCAACGGAAACTGAGGCACCAGTGATATTGGTGGGACCAGGTACTGGAATCGCTCCTTTCCGAGGTTTCTGGCATCATCGATTTGCTCAGATAAAACTTCAGCAAAGTATGGATGTTTTCATTATTAGATATCTTTTTAAAATTTTATATAATTATAAACTTTATAAAAAAAATTCCTTATAGTAGATACTATTAGCATTATGTAAATTTATGATATTTTTGTGTGCAGATCAAAAATTTGGCAAGATTTGGCTTTTCTTTGGTTGCCGTCAAAGAAATTTGGATCTATATAGACAAGAAAAGAAAGAAATGTTGGAGACTGGTGTTTTGGACAAGGTGTTTTTAGCATTGTCTCGAGAACCTGGTCTTAAGAAGGTATTAATATGTATAAATTAAAAATCTCGGAATCCCGTCAATTAAACAAAGAAAAAAAATTAAGAGTCATGGAAGTCAACGCTGAAGTCAATACGCAATTATAAAAAAATAAGATTAATTTATTTGAACAATGTAAATGTTATGTCGACCGTGTCGAACAAATCATTATTTGCTTTTCTCATGGACCACGACACGTGCAAGAAGAATACACTCAAACATACGATATTATATATTTTTTTAACTTTTACAATTATTATTATATTATTATATTCTCTGAAAATGGCTCAAATACGGAACTAAAACATTCGACACAACATTTGTACTATTTAAATAAATCTTATTTTTTTATAATTGCACATTTACTTCAGCATTGACTCCCACAACTGCTTTATTTTTTATTTGTTTAATATATATATTATTTTATAGATTTCTCTTTCTCTCTCTCTATGGTCAGAAAAGAGATTTGTAGAGAGATGTAAATATTACTCATAGAAATGTTACATATATGTATATATAAAAGATGAAATGAAGTTTGAATTTTATATAAATATTAGACGTATGTGCAAGATTTGATCCAATCAGAAGCGTCTCAAATTTACAAGATGGTGGTATATGATCGTGGTCATTTCTATGTTTGCGGGGATTGCACGATGGCGGAAGATGTTTATCAGACCTTAAAACAGATAATACAAACGCATAGCCAAATGACGGACAAAGAAGTTGAAGCATATATGTTATCACTAAGAGTATGTCTTTTGCATATTATTTTCTTGTTGCTTATGATTTATTTATGCAACAGCAAATATATACTGCTGTGCACTTAAATTGATTCGGACTGTATGATTCTTTTAGGATGAAAATCGTTATCATGAAGACATATTCGGTATAACATTACGCACCGCTGAGGTACATAATCGATCGCGCGAGACCGCTAGAATCCGGATGGCCGCCGAACCGTGAAAATATTGAACTGATAAAGAACAGCCCGAATAATTTTCGTTTGAAGGATTGCTATTGCAAATTAATGATTACTGCATATAATATATAGTTCTATATGGGAAATCTGTTTTATTTACAAGTGTTGCTTGACTAATCTTTTGATTTCTAGGACATTTTATCTGCTATTTCATGTGGATCCGCTTATCCCTGGTCTCGTAAGAAATATCACACTGAATACATGTTCGCTGCACGTAGTACATAATACATAAGTATACAGAGCTTATTCTACCTGGTATTCCTTTCACTATGAAGATCCCGATGCGGTGAGATCCGGTTGTGGTTTCTGGCTCAAATTAGCCAACAGTTTTTTTATTTCCGCTATCGCCTTTCCTGGATTCAAACCCTGTAAATGTGTATATTTTGATTTAATAATCCTTTAATCTTTGAAATGAACTTAACTTAATTATTATAATTGGCTAAATTATAATCCAGCCTAATTTTGAATAATTGATTTATTCTTATTATTGTTTTCCTTTATATATTTGTGTAATGCTTGAGGTACTATAATTTTATTAAATGCATAAATAAGGGAACAATAATAAAAAATGAGGAATAAGAGAAATGTATTGATTGACCAGAAAAGTAAGATATAAGTAAGTAAAATAAATTATTACTAATCTGCGCTATATTAGTTTAATAAATATGATTTTTATATATTACTGTTACTACTGTTAATTGAATTATCTTGAATAGGTAGCAACTTAGAATAGATGAAAACTATTGACACATTTGTCGAGAATAAAATAAGCGAAGAGCAAAGTAACAAAAAAAATACTAATCATCAAACATAAACTTATTATGTTATTACAATAATTTAGTTGAAGCATCTTCTAATGTGAATTGAACTCACCTTTGGGCAGGTACGCGTACAATTCATGATTGTATGACAACGGTAAACTGAAAACGGGTCCTTTAATTTCTCCAGACGCTCCACTGCTTGAGTATCTCGCGAATCAATAATCCACCTGTAAGCCTAATATGAAAGTAATGATAATTGAAAGATCTTAGAAGGAAATGGTATAAAGAAAAATTTTATGATTGGATTAAATGTATCAAGCAATATTACATACATTCTAATTTGAAAAATTTTGTGAGATTGGATTAAACATATCAAGTAATATTATAAACATTCTAATTTATCTCTTACAGATGTGTTATCTGGTTTGTATGATATATTCAATTCATTATTAAGGAATATTTCACTTGCGTCATTTTTCTGTAAATCGCTTATTGTGATTGATCACTCCCTGTTACATAATATTACATTTAAAATAGTATAATATGATGCGCTTACTTGCATAAGTACTGCAGGGCCTAAATACTTATCACCATTCCACCAATAGGATGGGCAAGAAGTGCTGCAGCAAGCACAGAGAATACATTCGTAGAGACCATCCTATGTTAGTCAAAATTAGATTATATATTTAGTTTTAGATTAAAGAGATATAATTGTAACTAAAACAGAAAATCAAATAAATATAATAACCTCATGTACTTACCAACTTTTTACGGTCTTCTACACTTTGCAAATACTGTTGGTTCCCAGTTTCTTTCGTGTCTTTGTGCTGTAACCATGGTTGTATACTGCGATATTGATCATAGAAATTATTTAAATCCGGTACCAGGTCTTTTACGATATACATATGAGGCAAGGGATAAACTTCACACGCCGTGCTTGTGCTTTCATCAATTTTGCTGAAACACATGATTATTTTATTTTTAGTGATTAATATATTTATCATCTTTATTAGGAGAATTTAAATTTTAAATACATCAGGTATATATAATTTTAAACGTGTATATAAACTTGAGATATAGAAGTCAATCAAATCAAATTATAAATTTATATCGGCAAAATTGAGAACATTACATTATAACAGACATAAATACCTGATACATGCCAATGTGTTTGCTCCTCCGATATTCATAGCACAAGATCCACAGATACCTTCACGGCAGGAACGACGGAATGTCAATGTTGGATCGATCTCATTTTTAATCTTAATTAGTGCATCCAATACCATTGGACCACAACTAAAAAAAAGTAAATTAAATGTAAAAAATATATACATGTATAAAAGGAGAATTTTAGAAAAATATTTAATACATTTTTAATAAAACAAAACCTACGTATTCAGATCAATTTTATATTTCTGCATATATGGTTTTTCATCAGATTTGTCTGGATTCCAACGGTAAATTGAGAAGGTCTTAAGCTTAGCTTCGGCATTTTGTACTGCCGTAGTATGTAAAGCTTTGACCTATTAAAAATATATAGAATTAAAATTCCAGTATATAAAATGTGTGTTAATAGTATACTAACAGATTATCAGCATATATCAACAGAATATTGCCAAACATTAATGTTTATATGGAATATATTCCCTATATTTTAATAGAATATATTTGCTTTATATATGGTTATAAAAAGGTAGATTCTACATAATTTCTGCATTCAATTTACAATTATCTCTAATATTATCGTTATATTCCAATTAGCAAAATTATGCTGATAAAACTTGCACTGTAAAATCTGTTTTTGATAGACTTGGCTAACTAGGGACATAGAGAAAACAAGATTGTCACATACATCTTAATATTAGTTTTCACATTAACAAAACTTAATATTTAATTATTAAATCAGTGCATGGGACTTGACATTTTTGTGGTACCGTTTTATCTTAAATACAACGTTAAGGGATTTTGATAGAAAAATGACAGAGACATGTCACAACACTTTAATGATACTTGTTATTGTAGAACTGGCGACAATTTACTCTACTCACGCATAAAAAAAACAAGTGAAAAATAATATGATGTCTCAATGTCGAGTCCGTTGTTTTGCGGATACTTACTTGACGTAATGCATTTCTACAGGTGTACGGCATTACCCCGACCATCTTCGAACAATTCGGTATCAACACGTTCATGATGTCTGCATTATATAATTAGACTACCAAAGACCTGCCAAAATAGTGCCAATCTGCGCACCGAATGCAACCGTTTACTAATCGTTGAAGAAAAGGAAGGAGAAACTGACCAATCTGACAAATAACCTGACGCACCTGAAAGTTATGCCAATATTTTAAAATATATTAAATAACACATATTTAATATAACCTAATTATAATATATTAAATAATGTATAAAATATATATATATATATGATATTTTAAAAATATAAAATAAATATTGAATATTAGATATATATTTCCCTTAGAAATATATTTTATTAAATTTATATGTACCTCCTCTGCGTATGCTCGAAGTCTGACACACTGACATAAGTATATCAAGGTAATTTAGGTAATGTTACCAGTGATGAGCGCATGATCATTTCATGAAAAGTTTCTCAAATAAGAATTTAGATATTATTGTTATTTTGAGGTCAACTGTACGCTTTTTTTAAAAACGTTCTAATCAATTATCTATTAATTTATCAATAAAAAGTACATTTAATTTATATATTGGTACCCAGATAGTGATATTTATTGAGGATAGAATTTGAGGATATTCTAGCTGAAAATTCACTCATTTCTTGCTTGAAAAAAATAATTAAAATATCCTCAAAATATCACGTGCTATCTGGGTATTTGTAATATTTAAAATGTTATTAATTATTATTAACGTTATAAAAATTGCTAATAAATAGTATATATATAAAAGCTACTATTTTTATCATGATAAATAAATTTGTAAAATAAAGTTCCTTCGTAGATTTCGTGAAATATATGGCGATATAAAGATCAATCAAAACTTGTCCAATATCTAAATTTTTATTTGAAAAAAAAAAAATAAATAAATTCAATTGTCTTTGCCAATCAAAATAGAGAAAACAACAGTTTCTTCGTGCGGATTGGTCGTTTGATATGAGAGTAGTATTTATAACATATGATATTCTAATATCAAACGGCCAATTGCGTTTTTCATTGGCAGAATTCACAGTGCGCACTCAGTGCACATCATTCGACATGTGACGTCTAATATTCAATAAGAGAGTTTGTTTTCTAGAGATTCTAGACAATATTTTGGCCTCAGTTTCCAGTTTGTTGGTTTGGCATTAGTCGTTGGTCGATAAAATAGTTCAATTAACCAAGCTTCGATTAACTTATGCCCATTTCCACCAATGCAGATTAACTTTTAATCTCGGTTCAATTTAAGGTTGGATTATACTGGCCGTAATCTGTTAACTTATGCTGTAATCTGTAAAAATTGACCAATTATAATCGATTATTCCCCTCTCATTCGACTGTGATTGGTCAATTTTTACAGATTACGGCATAAGTAACAGTTTACGGCCAGTATAAATCAACCTTAAGTTAAACCGAGATGTTAATCTGCATTGGTGGAAACAGGCATTAATCGGCCTAGTAACTTTGCAGGCTTCCAACTGAAGCTGATGTCGGAGCTGAGCCACAGTTAACTCTCCAACGTCAGTGATCAGCTTCAGTTGAAAGCCTGCAAAGTTACCGATTAAGTTAATCGAAGCTTGGTGACAATGGCCCTTAGTTTGAGAATCGTGAACTAGTTCATAGTTCACGTAAAAGATTCGTTTATTTAAACCGTTCGTTCGCGAACTACCCATCTCTATTGTGGACGTTGAAAGTTTAAGGTTAGTGAAGCTTCCTCGTCACTGATAGTCTAATTATTGCTTCTCAATTGAATCCTAACCTACATTTCACGCATTAGCTTGACCTCAAATGAATGAGATATTCCTGTTATGTCTGTGTATTTTAAACGCCGCTACATATATTTATTACATTAATGCTGTCAATGGTTATTCGTTGCCTTTAAATAAACGTTATTAGCGTAGCAATTATGTGTGACAAAATTTTGAAGCAACTTTCATACACTTAAATCAGAAGGAGCATGTTGCAAAATTAGAGAAGCAAAGTTTATAACGAACACAAAATAAACTTGTATGTTAAAAACAATATAATAACAGTATAAGTTTAGATATAAATTATCCATAAAGATTATATTATATATGAACTTATTTATATTTAATATTAATGTGAAAAGTAACGTTAATTCTAGTTATACACATTGAGATATCAGAAATTCCAGTGCAATTTGCTAAATCAAGATTTTTTTTCCATATTTCAAAACTTCTTTTTTAAACCTATGTATCTCAAAGCTTCTTAATTCTATTGATTTTTATATAATACAGACTTGTTTCTTAATCAATTCTCTATCAATTAAAAAAAATTAATTTAAATATATCTACTTTTATGGAAGTTACATTAACAAATATAAATGAGGTCCCTGAGACTCTCAGTATACATATCAAGGATACAATAAACTGTGTATACCTAGGATTAATTGTGATATATATATATATATATTTATTGATAAATGTGTATGATTTTAGGTTCGTAGTAAAAGCGATCAAAGCTTAACCCATTCATCAGGCCCATTAAAAGCTCTCTGTCCCTGTGCCTAAAGCCCTTGCGTGGCTCACAAGCTGGGCGCTGGGCCAGGCCGCGCAGCGCCAGACCGGTGAGTTCCCACACAAAATATCGCTTGGTAGCACGGCGGACACTCAAAGCCAACTAACCATGTCTGTACAAAGTGTTGCTCTGGCATCTCTCACGGCCACCTATACCGACTCGGAGGGCGAGGACGGGGTGGAAGACGAGCGCCTGCAGGAGGAGAATTCGAACACTCCCCAGGGGGCCGCCCCGCATAATGCCCAAGTCGGTCGTCAGCCCCAGGCCCGATCTGGCACCAGTCCCATATCTGGAGGCCGTTCAGCCTCGCATAGTCCTGCCGTCGGCAAGTCTGCGGGTAGTAGCGACTTGCCGGAAACGGCTACAAAGGTGCAGCGATTGGTCTCTTATTTTGACGATGCGGTAGTCTCCGACGATGAGGGGGTGGCCGCTGCTGCGCTGCCGCCGTCGCTGCCAGCGGTGCCGTCGTCATCATCGTCGATGACGACGGGCACGGCGATTGCTGCGACGGTCGCAGAACGTCCTGAGGAGAATGGTCTCCCGGTCGCGGCTACCGGCAATATCGCTGCCACCACTGTCGCCGCTGCCACTGTCGTCGCCGTCGGCGGTGGCGCTGAGCGTCGGTCACCCTCCTCGCGTTCCGGAGAATTGGTTTCAGATAATAATGGTGAGGCGGCGGACTCTTATGGTGTGACGATACCACCGGAACCGCCAGGTCAATGTCCCGCTGAGCTGCAGGACAAGATTGCGAGGCTTTTTAGGAAAATGGAGAGCGGCGGGTTGGACATGAATATGATGATTCAGCAACGCAAGGAATTCCGGAATCCTTCCATTTACGAAAAACTCATTCAGTTTTGTAGCATTAACGAGCTGGGCACCAACTATCCACCGGACAGGTTCGACCCGTTTAAGTGGAGCAAGGACTCGTATTATGAAGAACTTGCTCTAGTACAAAAGGCGGAGATGGACAAACTTGAGAAGGCGCGCAAGGAGAAGACGAAGATCGAAATCGTATCTGGTACGGCTAAGCGACCCAATAGTTCAACAAGCGGCGCCGAGAATGCCGACGCCAAAAAACGGAAAAGTAAGTGGGACCAAGTGGCGACGGGTGGTGTAGCTGCCGCCGCCGCTGTCGCGGCTGCCGCTGCCGCTGCTGTAACCGCCAAACCCACGGTACTTCTCACACAACCTCCCTTGACTCTGACATCATCTAGTAGCACCACTAAATCCACCATTTTATCGGCCTTTAGTTCACTGCCGAAGAAGAGATTGTAACATATCGTATAAATGTGTGCTGTGTAAATAATGTCCAATTTCCTTTAGTTAGCCATGAAGCTGCAGAAAGGAAAGCGCAGATTTGTGCGTCTCTGGAGATTTAAGTCCTTGGATGATTATTAAAATGTTTTTCAACACGACTTTCGGTATCAATGGACGATCGTAGAACTATGGGTTTAACGATACAAGTATGAAGATATAAATGCAAAAAGCATCCTCATCATAGCATAATCACCAACTTGAATATTTGGGTTAAAAAGTCAAGAATTAAAAGATTCACAATATTTATAGACCTATAGAAATTTAGAGATTTTGTGAATTAAAAAATTCAAATATTGAAGAATTATAAGATTAGGTTTGTAGACAAGTTCTAGGTAACATCAACTTAAAACATTTTTTACAATAATACAGACTACAAGGAAGAAAAGATCTAGAACCGTGAAAATTTGTACATATATGACTTCATAAATCTTTATAGAAATTTTGATAGATCCAAAAATATGAAGATTATATAAAGATTTTTGTGTTAAAGGAAATCTGAAGAGTAATGAAGAGAAAATGTAATTGTTTTTATTATTTTAAGAATACAAAAGTCCAAAGTTCTATGAGTTCAACTGACCTAATAATCCAAGGATTTAAAAATCCAAGAATTTAGCCATCTGCAAAATAAACATACTGTAAATAATATTGATTGCAAATTCCATTGTCTGGATATGAGAAAAGAAGAAAAATATTCTTTACATTCTTAAATTTTCAGATTTACATTCAAAAAGATTTACATTTTTGTATTTTTAAATCCTTGTAAGTCGACATTTACAGCTTGTGGGTCTTTTAGATCTATGTACCCAAATCTTTAAATTATAAGAGGTTTATTATTAAAAACAAGCTTGTGAGCGCTTATGAAGATAACATTGTAAAAACTGGAAAATTGAGAGAAATGATAAGTTGTAAAAAATTTAATTGTAAATCCAATAATCTGAGAAATCAAGGATCTAAAAACTCAATTGCTCATATATCTAAGAATTAGAATAAAGACCCAATAATCGTAGATTAAAACATATTGAAATAATATTAATTAAAAAGTTATTTTTACACATATATTAAATACGGCCCAAGTAACAACAGCATCTGTAAAATGCTTTAAAAAAGCGCTTTGTTAACGTTTTATAAGTGCTGTATGCTATTTGGGAGGCATATAGAAAAACAATATTGAAGCTTTGTGAATTTAGATCCTTGAATTATCGTATTCGAAATTTTTCTTTAATATATAAAACTTGTACAAAAATATGGAACAGAATAATACGGAATATAAAAGGTTCAACTGATGTGCAAATGATGATTGTCAGATAGCAACTACAAATGCGATATTATGTACAATTGATTTCTCGAAATAAAGTAGACGCGTAATTAATTATTAAGTCTCTCAACGCGCGATGAGACAGATAGAGAATTTATGTATGTTAACAATCACAAAATCGATGTAAAATAAGCTGTAAGTTTTTAGCAAAGGTTCACCTTTTTTTATATGAAAAGAGTAATGAAATTCTTCCACGAAAGACTTTGTATATACACACTCATGTGTCAATAGAGTATGGAATATACA